ACTTCAGTCCATCCACCCTCATCCTCACCCATAATATTCTTAGTTTATTTGGTTTTCTGTTTATCATTTGTCCCTGGTTCTTTGCCCTTTGGCTGTTGCATCCTACAAATCGCGTCTGAATGACCCTGAATGCGACATTAGCATAATTCCGGGATATTCTCATACTCGATTTGTTGATTGAATATGTCTAGTTCACCGTTATCATCCACAAGTGCCACTTCTACTTCCTTCAAATTTGGTTTTGATAAGTCAATCTCCGCTCGAGCTTTCGCCGTAGTTGGCCTTGTTCTTGTCACCGTAGCCTTGTCTAGATCTATTAGAGGACCAATGGGCTATAGAATTATTTCCATTGATGCCTAGTCGTGGTAATGCTATGGTAATTCAGGGAGCGTCACCCAAATCGGAGCCAAGGTTGACTCCATATCCGCTTTGAAGTTCCTGGTCCATCGTTGAATTCTCATGGTGGTGCCACAAATTTGTATTGGGCGTCTACCATAGAACCTCTTGAAATCCTCTTATTCCGTGAAATCGATGAACACATGCCTCCAATCATAGGCCCCAATTTTGTTCGATTTGTTCAGGGGATAAGTTCTTTTGAAACCATCCCTTATTTTGTCAATTTGGGGACGGTTTCGAGAGAATTTTCCAACAATTGTCCACTTGCACTTTTCAGCCAGTAATTCATCTTCCTCTTTCAAGAAGACTACTCTCGCTTTCCCATCAATTAGTTCATAAGGCTTGTGTTCTAATCGTACATTCTTTCTGCCTGGCCCGTTGATTTTTCCTTCAACAGCCGCAACAAAATTGAATTGTGTTGAAATGTTGTTTTCACTGTTCTTATTTGGGGTAGCTAGGCGCATCCCCTGCTGTTCGTCGGTGGCCATATGGCCAGTCAGAGCCGCCTTAGTGGGTAGGGGGAAGGAATTTGGGTTGATTGTTCTGTAGGGTTAATTGGCTAATATTATCAAGGAGTTTAACTCTCAGTTTTGTGATGATTTGATAGAGTTTGAGGTAATTTGAATTAAAAATTAGAAGTAGAAGATAAACATAAAAAAATATGATATATGTATCACATATGTATTAGGCCAAATACACATGCATCCACCTAAATTTGTCCAAAAATCTCACTTAACACTCAAACTAAAACCATGACCTATTAAACACTTAATCTTAGTTGAAACTGTGTCAATTTAACGCGAGAAGCTGACATGGCAGGAGATGTGCTTCTCACTCAAATTGAGCGCGTGAGCAATTTAAGCTACAGTACATGTTTTTGCCGGAAAATACAAAATTTCACCGGAAATAACTTCTTCTTCCAACCCATTTTTCCAAACTCCTTCCTTCTTCATGCCGTCCTGTTATTTTGTCTAGATTCAAACTATTTTTTCATTCTTCCTGTCAATCCTCACAATAATTTCAATTGTAATCCATTTTCTGCTCATCCTTTTCAGCCATAACTGAATGGAAGTTGATGAATAACATAAGCAGCCTATGAAGAATTTCTTAATCACCACATTTTTTACCATATCCCTTAAAAGTAATTTGACGTTTAGTACGACTTATTAGTGATTGAGTTGGGAGAGATCAAACACAAAGGAGAAAGAGACATAGAAGCAATTTAGCAGAAATTATCAGAAGCCAAGAGAGAAGCTGGAATGGTGGTGATGGAGTCACATGGCTAATCAAAGAGACATTGGATCAACTTCGACGAAAAAAATGGAGACTGTCGGATTTTTTTTAAAGGATATCTCTCTCTCTCTCTCTCTCTCGTGCAAAAAAATGGAGTTCTTCTTCATCATCTTTCAAATACTATAGACAAAGCCATTTGCCGGAAAAGACAAGTTGTTGCTGGAAAGATGAAATATTATCAGATTTTCATTTCCGATAAACTCTTCATGTCTCGAGCTTTCTTTTTTCTCAATCTTTGAGTTTTTATTTGCTGACATGTACTTTTTTTCATTGGCTGTATTTGCCATGTCAATAGCAAGTGTATTCACGCACTGAAGTTGGTTTATAATTGTCAAATTTGTGTTCAATAGGTACGGTTTGAGCATAGATAAAATGTTCAATAGGTCATAGGTTTTGTTTAGGTGTCTAAATAAATTTTTGAAGATATATTTAATGTGTCATCTAATATATAGGCCAAATACATATAGGCCCTTTCAATTTGTTCTATTTTTTCATTTAGACACTTTAACTATTCTTCGCTCCTATTGAACACTTGAACCTAAGCTCAAGTGTGTCAATTAGAAACAACTTGCTGACGTGTCACGTAGCATGTATCTCACTTAAAACAGAGTGCGTTTTGCTGGAAATTCTGAATGTTTCGCCGCAAAGATGATTTTCGGGTGACAAATTTTGAAGCCGTTTTTTACTAATTCCGGCAGCCACCATAGTCACTGCTGCTACCACTCCCTGTATCTTCTTATCAAATTCATACAGTAGAAAGTTTGGAGAAATGGAATCACTTTGATTTACGGTCCTGGATCTCTAGTAGATCTTAGAAAAATCATTTCTTGCTCATTAATGATGTGATCCACTATTTTTATAAAAACATCACGGTGTTATATTATCAACAGTTATTATTAGTGAGAAATGAGAAATGCAATTCCAATTAATTGCACTCATTCTGGTTAATCATTGGTTTTTGGACAGATTATTTCAATTCAATCTTTTTATACCAGAATTAGTATCTTCTTCTTTCACCACGGCCACTGCATCCCATTACTGCAGTTTAGAAAGGCAATTTAAAACATCAATTTCAGTGTTCCCCCTTCAAGCTATTTTTAACAAAACCAGCAGAAGCTGGCCACCAGCTCCCCCCAATTATTCTCCATTTTCTTATGCCATTTCCCAATTCTTCATAACGAAAAATAGAAACCGAGAGACAGAGAGATGTGCAAGGAAGTACCCAAATCAGAGAGGATTCTTCTTTTCTGGAGTAAGGCAGCACTCAACTTTTTGTCAAAAGATTCCGGCCGGCCTTCTTTTTTCCGTTACCGTCAGTCAATGTCACTTTTTCTGTTTAATTTCAGACTTTGACCCTTTTCATTTCTTCGCGTACGTGTCAGTTTTTTATTAGTTTGATCTGCCATGTCAGTGATGAGTGATATTCACGCACCCTAATTTGTTTAGAGTCGCCAAATTTGTGTTCAGTTGGCTCATTTTTGGTAGAGATCAAGAGCTCAATAGCAACAAACCTTAGTATAACTGTCCAAGTGAAAAATTCAGGCAAGTTTTAGGGGTTGTGTATGTATTATATATCTATGTATACATGTTTGATGTATGTAGTAGAAGAATTTTTTGAATTCGATTTTAACTAAGAATTTTGATATAAAATTATTTCAAATCACCTCCAATCTTTTTCAATTTTTGTATATTGACTAATCTATATATTTTCAATAAATTTCAACCATACCCGTTGAAAAATATCTCATTTTACTTAGATTTTTGGAATCCTGTATAATTTCTTTGCTACCTTATTCATGAATTTTTTTTCCCGTCTTGCATCTAATTTAGCTGATCATACTTAAAAATATGGAAGTAGATCTTTGCGTGTGATTCTTGGAGAGAAAGAACCTTTATTTATTTTTATATGTAATGATTAATTTTGGTAAATTTATAATTAACGGCTAGAGGTTGATAAGTTAGGACTTATTTGAAACATTTCCGTAAGATTTCTTATATAATTTATAATGGGAAACTTTGGTCGCCAAAATTTCTTCATTGGTGGTTGCCTATACCTTTCACAAGATGTGATACAGATGTTTACAAGATGTGATGACCCAAATCCCAATGGCATAGTCAATAATGCAGCCTTTTGTTGCCCAATTGCTAATACCTTAGCAATTGGTCCAAGACTCCAAGGGGAGTTGGACAAATGATAGCAATATTTTTTTTAATTTTAACATTGTAAATAATCATGAACGTTCGTGTACAAATATATTTTTAGTTATATGACTATCTTATTTTATACATAAAAGATTTTCTATCTTTTACATATAATATATCTAAAAATATATATATTTTTAATTTCAAAAGTGTAAATGGCCATGAAAGCCCATTTCCTCCGCACAAATTATGCTATCCAGAACCAAAAGCAAAGCCATTAAACAAGCATTAATTCCTTTTCAATTTTTTCCTATCACATTACATGGTATAGAAGGGAAGGAGAAGAAACCAATGACAGTGGTAAGAATAAAGAATTAATGTTGTTTTTATCTTCATTAACCTTTACTTATGCACCTAACAACTTGTTTGGATGGTTGTTATCTAATGTATTGTATTTTATTGTTCTTTAAATATAATGTTTGTTTTGATTGTTACTTAAAATCTTACTGTATCGTATTGTTAAATCTATCGTTTCGTAACGATAAAAAATGCCGGTATGGTGACGCCGTTTCCTTACTTTTCTCTCTCATCTTGCTCTTCCTTATTGTTAAATAATCATATTTTATTATTTACCCTGCTTTTTTATATAATAATTCTACTCCGTATCTTATTTTTCTTAATAATGTTGCAAGTTTATTTTTTATATTGTTGGTGCATGACATCATGAAACGACGGCAAACGATGCAATCTATCCAAATATTATATTTATGAAACAACACCATATAATATAATACACTACAATACGATACGATACATTATAAAACGATAAGTAACAACAATTCAAACAAGCCGTAAGAATAAAGAATTAATGTTGTATTTATCTTCATTTACCTTTACTTTTTCACCTTGTTCTATTTTTTATTTTCACCTTCTAGGCTTCTACTAATTATGACAAAGAACTTCAGATGAAGCGTGCAAGTAAATTCCTCCACGTTAAGACACGTGTCATTGCTTACAAAATCACGTTCCGACCTATGCCAAGCTGCACAAGATTCATTCTAAGCCTACTCTAGATTCTTAAAAAAACAAAAGGTTCTCAGCTTGCCATCTCATCATTTTTCCTTAATTTCTTTTTATTCAAAAATTTTCCCTCCTCATAAACTTAAATAAATTCTTCAATTACACGCTAAAAATATCCCAACCTTTTCCATTATTTCTGCTTTCTTCTTCTTCATTTTTTTTGTGTATCTTTGATCCATTATTGGCTTACCTCTTGATTCTTTAGAAGCTGTCAAGCTGTAAAAAAATGGCTCAATTATTGTCACCTGTTTGCACAGATTCCCTCAAATTACAAAACCCACTGCAGCTTTTCTCTTCAAGAAGTAAATGGCCAATTTTGGCTAATAATTTTAATAATTTGAATTGGAGCTCAGTTGGTCATTCTGGGAAGAAGAGAAGATTAGGGAGAATCAAAGTTGCTTATCAAGATTCCGCAGCATCTGAGGAAATTGCTGATGATTACTATGGTGTTTTGGGTTTGGTAATTTACAACCTATTTTTCAACTTTCACTGTCTTATTGCCTTTCTTTCCAATCAGTTAGTTCTTAATAAGAGAAAAAACATTCTTTTTGTGTAAGTCCAGTCATTAACTTTCAAAAATCAAAATTTTACTCTCTTTTTTTTTTGGCTGCCTTCATTGCCTTGTGTCTGGATATGCTAATTGAAGTTCTTTTTTGGCTTTTCATATTGTAGTTTCTGTGATTACTTTCAACAAAATACCATTAACCAACCTCAAATAATGGGTAAATTTTAACTGCTTATTCAGATGCTACTTTAATCCTCTAAGGAAAATATACTATCAGTCTATATTAACAAAAGGTATGTTAATTATTACAGTACTTTATGAAGAAGCTGAATATGCTGATGCAGACATGGCAATTGCACATATCTAGTATAATTTGCCTGTTTCCTTTATCGAAAATCCGGTACTATGCGTTTCAGTAATTAGTTAATACTAGTGAGGCAAAACCATATTTCAATGCAAACAGTAATTGGAGGTTATACTATTAGCTACCTTGTTAACTTTTCGTGGTCATTATGTTGCCAGCTTCCTGATGCTACACCCACGCAAATAAAGAAAGCGTATTATAATTGCATGAAAGCTTGTCATCCAGATTTGAGTGGTGATGATCCTGAGACCACGAATTTTTGCATGTTTATCAATGAGGTCTATGAGGTGGGTGTTTGAATATTTGATAATGCATGTACTTTGTGTTGCACTTCAATTGCTAATCATTGTAGCACTTTAGATTCTTAGTGATCCTGTGCAAAGGAGAGTTTATGATGAGATCCACGGGTACACTGCCACAGCAATCAATCCTTTCCTGAGTGATTCATCAACGAAAGATCATGTATTTGTTGATGAGTTTAGCTGCATAGGTATTATGCCTCAACTTTATTTGTTTATTTATTTTTTAAATTTCACTTCATATCTCTTTCAGGTAGCTAATTTTTTTTGGAGTTAGTTCATCTCCATGCTTTTAGTTTTGTTTTTCCTGGGACTGAATTCTAAAAGTCATGTCTGTACTAATGAACGAAGCTGGTTATCGGTCATCTGATGTGTTAACCACCTCCAATGGATTTGCAAAGCATGCTCTTTTACAAGGCTAGAAAAGCGAGAATGTTTGACGTCTCAATGAGTCTGGAATGCTGAAAGTAATTAGGAAAAACTGCATAGATTTTGTATAGTTTTAGTGCAAAGCATTATACTATCAGTTATGATTTGTTTCTAAATTTGTTGACCTCTGTTAAGGAAGTTTTGTCAATTCATTGATATACAAAGAGAAAATTTGCAGCACCTTCTTGAAAAAGTATGATTTAGAACACATCTCTCTCCTTCACAGGCTGCAAAAATTGTGCCAATGTTTGCCCAAAAGTGTTTGGCATTGAGGAAGACTATGGAAGAGCTAGAGTTTACGATCAATCTGGAAACACTGATTTAATTCAACAAGCTATAGATAGCTGGTAGGTTCTTGCTTCGTGGATGTAGCTGCTTATTTTGAACTTCTATATCCATTTTGCTAAAGGCCTAATGTAATTTTGTTCAGTCAAGATTCAAGTAAAATAGACATATACAGTTATTATTTCCTTTATGGTCTCTCAATGTGGTATGATCCTGATGCAAATCAAGTAAAATTGCAAAAATGATTCTGCAGATTCGCAAATATAAAGTGTAACTCTATAGCTTATATATGTGCATGTGATGCATCTCCTATTTCATCTTGTTTCGTTCATTTATTTTGTTTTGCCGCTATGAGATGTTTCCAATGTCATATTCTTATTTTATAGAAGGTTTATGACACATCCTATGTGTTGTTATACATAACTTGAGACTTGAGTCAATAGAGTATTAATTCAAAATGTGTATCTCCTTTAGACTGCAACGATTATACTATCTATTTCGCCTCACTAGAGTATTAATTCAAAATGTGTATCTCCTTTAGACTGCAATGATTATACTATCTATTTCGCCTCCCTTAAGAAGTTATAAGCTGGACAAATAAGCTTGAACTCTGCAGCTTAAGCTCTTGAGAAATGCATAGGAAGAGTGTCTGTTCGGAAGATAGACTAATGTAAACAAGTTTGCTTTAAGTGATGGACATATCTGCACTTTTAGTTTTAACAAAGATTCTTATGCTATATTAGGCTACTTTTCCAAAAGGAAATGAAAGGACACTTGATTTATGTATCTATATCAGATGACTTTGAAGTTCATCCAATGGAAAAGAAACTGATACATCCCAAATTGAACTTGTCCGGGGGCTGCAAAATCAAAAATGTTGTTTCTTCCTGAATATGGAAGATTTAACTAATCCTACTCTAAAGCATTACTTTTTTCTGTTCTCCTGAAAGTTACGTCTTATTTGTCGATTCCACAGTCTTAGGATCCTTAAGTTGTGTACTTCTGCTATTTCCATCTCACAGAATTTGTAGGAGTGAACGATATTGCTAGTCAAATTACTAGTTCTTTCTCTTTGCAGCCCAGTTGATTGTATCCATTGGACTTCTGCTGCACAGCTATCTTTGCTTGAGGATGAAATGCGAAGAGTAGAAAGAGTAAACGTGAGCTACATTTCTCACCTAATTTGGCAATTTCATGTCCAAAAGCACATCCAGTTTATATTCCTTATGATTTTGCTGCACTAAAATGCTCGATGACTTCTTAAATTGTTGACTGATGGATTCTACTGTGAGCATGTGTAATTCTTTTGATGTCAATAACCTATATTCATTCTTTTTGTTGACTGAAATTGCATAGTCGTCTAAAAGTTTTATAAACATGAAGTAGTCGGATACTGCTTTTATTAGCTCATTTAACTCTAGGCAAAGAAGTTGTAGTATTCGAAATACCTTAATTCACCTAGGCATAGTGAATTCACTAATCAGGCAAGCCCAGGGTTAAAAGACCATGGGTAAACTGCTCCTTATTTTTTGAATCAGCTAAGTTGGTGCCTATAAATGGAATATGAGTTTTCATCTCCAGCAGATATGACACACTCTCTCTCTTGGCTTGAGATCTTTTTGAGTTGCTTGAAGCTGAAATGATTTGTTGGTGCTGTAGGTGAATGTTTTAGCAGGTTGATATGATATAAAAGGATTATGTGGAAGTAACAGTCAGTTATTCAGACTAGTTGCAGAGGGATGCTTTTGATGTATTTCACTCTTTAAATATGGAAATAAATGTTCTACTTCCTCTTTATCATGTTTGGAGATGGTATTCTGTGATCTGTGTCTAAATTATCCAAAAAATTTCTTAAGTTTCTGTTCTAACAAGCTTCTAATGACTCTATCAACTAAATGAATATGCTGCTAGACTTTTCAAATTACTCGATCTTGTTTGATCTTCCTTTTATCTTGGTATCACGTGTAACATGTGTATTTTATGTCTCAATAGGTTGCCTTCATGCTTTCAGGAATGGGTGGTGGATCAGTGGATGTTTTCAGAATGGTATTTTGTTATTCCGTTTTATGTCTCTTTTGATGGTTCATTTTATCAATATGAGTTTAATCAATAATTGACATCATCATGATATTTTTGGCCCTGAAAATGTCCATAGTTTAATTGCATCTTACAGTGTTCCAAATTTGTGTATGATGGCTTTGAATGATCTATCTTCTATTTTAGTATCTTTTTTGAAATCCACATTCAAAGAACTCTGAGAAGCAGTTGCAGTTGGACTGTATTCTAAGCTAGAAATTTTTTATGCTTCAGTTGCAATGATATTGGAAGAAAGGATAATAATGTATTTAGCTGTTTGAACTGTACCCCTAAGCTAGAAACATTTGATAAATTTAGCAAAAAACAACTAGGCTGTAATCAAATAGAATTATTCAAGATCGAAAGCTTGAGAGATACACCTATAAGATATCTACTTTAAAGTGACTGATTAAATGTTTCATCTTTGCCAAATATATATCTAGAATATTTTATGAGCAAATATTTATTGTCATTATATTGTGAAAATAGAAAGCTGATTCGCCAAGAGAATTATCCATGAATATATATTTTCATGCCAGACTAAATTTGAAGAACTCTATTATCATAAATTATCATGACTGATCAATTTCAAGAAATCACTGTTTAGGACATATGTTCAGAAGGAGTTAGTCACTGTCTAACTCTAGAATGAATAGGATATTGTTCAGTACATCTCCACGAAAAAGATAGCTATATCTGGCTTGCATGCATTGTATAAGTTCTTATTTTCTTCTTTTTCAATATCCCCTATGTGAAAATTGAAATAGTTTTTTTTTCCAATGATATCCACAACTGTTCTGTTCTTCGATTTATGGAAACCACCAGTAGTTCTGTTATCTTGTTTGGACTTGTTGGAACTGAGATTCTTAGCCTCTGGAAATCAACTTATCAATTTGTTTTTGAACCTGTTCTAATAATGAAGCTATGTGCAGTTAAAGTTCAGCTAATTATTTGCTCTTCTCCAATTCGCTTTACACATTTGTATAATGTCAAAACACTTTACGATGCAGGCGAGCATCCGGTGGGAGAAACGACAATCTAAAGTCTTGGTAAGAACTACTGGCCCAAGTTTAAAGTATATGTCTATACTACCTTGTAATATGCATATTTAAATTCGTTTGTTTTGCTTCTGTTCAAAAATCTCGAATTGATTGTTAACCTATATTTCGTGATATGTTATATGTCACTGTGCACGTGGTCCATGTTGCAGATGGTTTACTTTTATGCATATTCCCGACTTATTTTGGTTATTCATGCATTAGGAAGTATTGATTTGTAATAAATTTAGGCATGATACTGCAATTTCCTCTATTATTTTGTTCATCATTCTCTCCTTTTGAGCAGTGCATCTCCGTGGTTATATATATTGCTTTGAATTTTATTTGTTTATGGGAGAGTTACCATAGTGGTATATTGCTAGCAATATTGGAAAAGGTGGGCTTGTTAGTTTGTTTAGTAGGGGGCATATAATGTTGTTTCTACGCGGATTTCATACTCGGATTTTTGCTCCATTGATAGCTGTAGCATTGTGATTAGATGGGAATCTGGTATAACGTGTAAGCTATCGCAGGAACAAGCTAAAATCAGAATGATGAAGAAGAAAGATTCTGAGAAACCTGAATCGTACTGGGACAACTTATGGGGCAATGCTAAAGACTACGCAAACACAGGTAGCGAAAACAAACCTAAATGAATTTGCTAATGTATACTATCTCCACATAACCTAATTTGGGTTGGTTGCTGCAGATGAAGAAGTGGAAGAAAGAACAAAACGAGCTGCAGCAGCTGCTCGAAGATGGAGAGAATACTCAAGGAGAGGCGCCGATAAACCTCCTACCTTTAAACTTCCAGAGGCCATCTCCAATGACAATTGACATACTACTTCCTAACCGATTCTCTAGCATATGGTACATGCATCTCACCTTTGTAATATATGGTTGTATATGATTGATGCATTTAGATATAGTCTGTTCATGATATATAGTCGCGGTGCCTTCCCACCTCAATGTAATTATGTATACCCAAAATTAAGCTTCGTATGTAAGATTAGTCATAATTCAATAAAAGTTATATAAGGAGAAAATGGAGAAAACCATAATCCAACCTGTGTACTCTATGCATGTTATTCATGATTGATGGTTCTATCTGATTACCTTAGAACCCCCTCCCCCCCAAAAAATAAAATAAAAAATAAAACACCCCAAAACCCAGGCAGGGGCGGAGAGACAAATACGGGTTCGGCCGAACTCGGTCCTTAATACTTGAAGTCGTGGTTCCAAAATCCAGAACCCATAAGGTTGGAATCTTAGCCTCGCCTCCGAACCTAGGTGGACCTTTTGCAATTGACAAGTTTATATTAATATGTGGTTGGTATTTTTAAATGATACTTCTTTGTCCTATATCTTATCCATCATGCAAATACAAATGGAAGAGCTAGAATATCCTTTAATACTCCCAGTTGAAAGGGTGAAGCATGACTCAAATTTGAGTTGTTTTATAAAGAGCAGTTTTTCAAATCTAATTTCTTTTCACTACTATTTTGTATGTTGACTTTGGTAAGTATATTTAACAAAAGAAATCCTCCATAATTTTAACATGGCTATTATTTTAAGTTGTTAAAGCATATTGTTTACCTACCCCGTCTATGGGGCCTTTTCTATTGTTCTCTCCTATAGTTGACCCTTTTTTAAGATATACACATTCAGATTCATAAAATTTATCTCTCAGCTGTAGCCTGTACGATGCTTCTGTAAGTATTATCATGATATACTGCTTAAATGTTGTTTACCCGAAAAAACGGATAGAGTTGAATTTATGCGTGGTTCTAAGGATACGTGGTATAACTTGGTGCAAATTAAAAAGATAAGTAGAAATATGTCGAATATTGACTGTAAAAAATGAATGAATATAAACTCAAATTGAGTAGAGAATGATTTATAAATAAACGAGATAAATCAATACCAAAAGCCCCAAAAAGGAAAATATTAGCTAGATGCTATGTAAATCTCAATAAATTTCCGAATATGAGAGTGTATGAATATATGAATGAATCCGTGAATGAATCAAAATTGAGTCCCGTGAATCAATGATAACTTACTCCTAATATAGTGGATGAATCCTACTTTGGATATAATTAAAAATACATAGTGAGGATCCCATGATAGATTAATTAATAGGCTTTTCCTTGATTTACGCCGAGATTCTCTCCCCAAATGTAATTATAACGGCTCTTTGGTCCCTTGGCTCAATCTCGAACTCGGCCGCTCTCGATCGTGATCGACCTCTATTCGTTCGACCTCTATATGAGTTCGATCTCGGTTGATTTCGGTCTCGATCGGTCTCTATTTGCTCGACCTCTTTCTGGGCTCGATATCGATCTTGGCTGATCTCGACCTTGGTCGGTTTCTAGGGCTCGAACTCAGCAGCCCGACTTCACTTCATAGCTCGATAATGATGAACCTCGATCTATCATGCTCCAATCTTGATTAATCACACGAAGGGCAAACTTGGTTTTGACCGTATACAAATATATAATTTTGACTATCAAAGAAGGACAAGAAAAAGTAAAAGAAAAAAAAGATTTGCAAAATAAGATGTTGAGAACTTTATAAAAGTGTAAGGTTTTCTTCAGTACTTGGACTTGTTGGAGAGTGAATTTGATGTTGTAATTTGTTATGTCAAATTAGAAACAACCTCTACCTTGAAGGTAGAGGTAAGGTTTGCACACACTACTCTTCCATGCTCCACTTGTAAGGTTATACTGGATTTGTTGTTGTAATTTGTTAGGCCAAACTGGTTGTCGCAGTCATAGTTCACTATTTGATGTCTTAATATTAATAATTGTTGTTCAAATTTGTCATCATAATTCTTATCTTTTTCTTGGTGGTATCACTTTCACTTTCACATTATTGGGTAGGAAGGGAGGGAGAAGCTTATAATGTTGTGAGCTTTAAGTCAAGTACTTGAAACTTCATGTCAACTGAAATAGTAGAAGCTTTTGGCACATTGTCAAATAATGCGATAACATAAGTATAGCTTAAATGGAGAAGTAATGATTCGTATAGTCGGCTTCAACAAATTGGTAGTAGTTGTTGTAGTTTGTTGGATTGTCAAATAATAATGAAGCTCGTGTTTTTTGACATCTTTGAGCTTACAACAAATTTGAAAATTTTCATGACAAATTATGCAAGCTGAGAAGCTGTATGTCGGTAAACCCTTTTAGCTGTTTAACTTTTATCCTTTTCTTTTGATTCTTGAATTTCATTTCTCCATTAAATCTGCTGAAAATAAATCATGGCCAGTCTGTAAATATTCCTTGTCAAACCAGAAAGTGTCAAAGAGCATCAGATTTTTTCCTCTTCTAAATAGCTGCCATATATGCGCACTTGGAAAAGAGACCTTTTTTTTTTTTTCCTAAAAGGAAATCTTGTAAAGTTTGTTGTATATACGTGTACACGCACATTCACGTATATAACTGAGCATATATTATTCGAATCGCATTAGCGGTTGTTTAGTACACGTTGGTCTAGAAGAATAAAAAAAATTAATTTTAATCCAGTAAGATATTTTACACACTTAGGTCTTCTACAAGGTAATTTTGTATAACGAACATTAATAGGTATCCTGGAAAAAAGATGTGGTAACTAACTTGATATAATAAACTAGTAAAAAATCTTTAAACGTATATAACTTATACTGTATCTAATTTCTATTTGATTTTATTGACCCTTTTACGTACTAAGCACCATTAATTGTAATATTACATTCAAAATAACAACACAATACAATGGTAATTACCATCCAAAGAAGCTGTTAGTTACTCCAATCATTGTTCTGTTAGGTGGAAAGTCAAGTCAATTAGTAACGATTTGACTGATTCACGTTGAAAGTTCAGTTAATACGTTTTAGTTTTATTCACTAATGTCGTTGTTATTTAAGCCACCTCAGTTTTCTCTCCCAATGTGTTTGTTAAGTACAAGATAATTATCACATGGACAAGTAGGGGTGTCAAACGGGCGAGTCGGATATGAGCGGGTCAAAATTGATAATTTTAAAAACAGATAAACTATCCGACCCGATCCGTATTTGAGACGGATAAAAAACAAGTTATCCGGCGGATAATATGGATACATGCCTTCTTGAATATGATCACTTTTGGGAGAATTCATAGTTTCCCAAACTTGAGTAACCCTCAATTTGAGGCGTTACAAATGTAAAAGTTAAACACATTAGTTATCCATTGGTTAATCATTTTCTAAATGAATAATATGGTTCTTATCCATATTCGACCCGTTTTTAAAAAGTTCATTATCCAACATATTTTTTAATGGATAATATGAGTAGATAACTGTTTTCTTTTAACCATTTTACTAGTTCTATGGACAAGTAAGTGCATTCTTTATTGATTGATAATTAGACTAATATAATAAGCTAATTGAGAGGTAATAACAACATTTAAAGCAGAGATGAAGGTATACAATGGATTGGTGCATTCTTTATTGATTGATAATTAGACTAATATAATAAGCTAATTGAGAGGTAATAACAACATTTAAAGCAGAGATGAAGGTATACAATGGATTGGTGCATTCTTTATTGATTGATAATTAGACTAATATAATAAGCTAATTGAGAGGTAATAACAACATTTAAAGCAGAGATGAAGGTATACAATGGATTGGTCATATACGGAGGCAGGATATTTCGATTTATGTTATTGTGTCAGTTGATGTGATATATTTACGGAGTTTAGGGAACATGAATTTTTCTAGCAAATACAGTCCTGTTATATATTCCACTCTTTATTTTTACCAAAGCATTTATCTATGTCTATCACAAAAAAAATAGAGTACTAAATTTACTATTAATTCGTCCACAATTACTTACTATATAATAAACACGTTAAATTACAGTATTTTTAAGTTTTGTGTTCAATTAAATGGAGGAAATAGACTAGGAATATAGGGAGGATATTCCAAGATAAATATCTTTTGGATGTATCTAGAAAGTTCTTGGCATGAAGGGTACTTTGATATGTGAATATATTATAGATAAACAAAGAAAGTCCACGTATAAAAGTCAGTATTGGTTGGTCTGCACAATGTTTTGTTGCCCTCTCGTCGATGGCACTCATTCAAAAATTGAATGGACCAATTCAATTTCTTGGAACTATTCCGGCGGCAAGTCTTCCACTTTCAACCAAGAGGTTCTGAGTTCGAGTCATCCCAAGAGCAATGTGGAGAATTTTTGAAGGGAGGGAGCCGATGGTCTACTCTACCCAGGATAGAAATAAGTTTTGTGTACACACTACCTTCCCAATACCCTACTAATGAGATTATACTGAATTGTTGTTGTTGTATTCTCCCATTTGATGATTTTGAAAAAAGAAAACATAAAAGCAAAATAATAATAAGAAGAAAAAGAGAATAGGAGGAGCGGATGTAGATTTTGGAATGGCTTAAACAGTAACAGGCAACCAATGAGTATTGGTATAAGCTACTATATCACTTGTGATTCCTAGATGTTCTTATTTTAAAATATAATTTCGGGCAATGGTTTTCTAGGTCGAGTGAAAATCAAATAACATCCTAATTCATTTGTTAGTAAAGGTGAAAATAACTTGGTGATTTCCTTTATCTGTATAAACTTTGATTAACAAAATTATTCGGTATAGTATCATGAAATAGTTAAAGAATACGCAAACTAATCGGAAACCATTTTCTAAAGATAAATTCTCAGGTTGGATAGAAATCAAATCTAAATATATTTCGCTCCCATTTGGTCATAAAATTTGTAAGCTTTTTTTCAAATATCTTTTTGTTTATAGATTTTAATAATTTTTCGCTGATTTTGAAAATAAAACTTTCAAATCACAAAAATATTTTTAGAGTAATTTTTGAAGTTTTTTAACCTCAAATTCTTTTCAAATAAAATGTATATTCAAACACAATTTCAACTTTCAAAAATTATTTTTCTCCTAACTTTAACAACTCATTTTTTCAAGTTTCAACCAATTCTATCTCTGCTACTTCTAGATACAAAACTTTCTAAGATGGTAAATTGATAATCAAAATCGAAA